TACTTTGGGGTTAGGAAAATATTTCTTAGATACAACAGCTAAAAAGCATGTTACATAAAAGAAAAAACTGATATTTCAAAGTTCCTTAAAATTTTTAAAAATCTTATCTTCAAAAGACATTATAAAAATGAAAAGAAGCTGTATGCAGGGAGAAAATGTTTAGATTTACATATATAATAAAGAACTTGTACCTGGAACTTATAAAGAACTCTTGTAAGTCAATAATAATAAAAAGACAATCCAATAAAAAATGGGCAAAAATTTGAACAGACAGTTCACCAAAAAGATATATGAATAGTTAATAAGCACATGAAAACATGATCAAAAGCATTAGTTATTAGGGAAATGCAAATTAAAGTAACAGCGAGATACCATTACATACCTACGAGAATGGCTATAATAAAAAAGATTGTCGGGGCGAGAGTGCTGATGAGGGTGTGGAGAAAATGGAACTCTCATACATTGCTGGCGGGAATGTAAAATAGTATAGCTACTTTTGAAAAAGTTTGGCAGTCTCTTCAAAAGTTAAACATGTACTTAACATAAAACCAGCCATTCCACTCCTCAGTATCTACTCAAGAGAAATGAAAACATATCCAGCCAAAAGTTTGGTAAATGTTCATAGCAACATTCTTCTTAATTGCAAAAAACTAGAAGCAATACACACATACATCTATTACCAAATGGTGGAATAGATAAACAAAATGTGGAATTAATTTTCAATGAAATTTTATTCAGCAATTGGAAAGGAGCTAAACACAAAACAACATGGATGAACCTCAAAAACATTATTCTAAGTGAAAAAAGCCAGAGACAAAAGATGACCTATTTTATAATTCCATCTACATAAAATTTCTTTCTTTTCTTTTTGGCAGCTGGACAGTACCAGGATCAGAACTTTTGACCTTGGCGTTAGAAATACCATGCTCTCTCAAGTGAGCAACCAGCCAGCCCCCATCTACATGAAATTTCTACAAAAAGAAAATCCATGGAGACAGAAAGTGTATCAGTGGTTGCCAAGGGCTGGTGGCAGGAGTGAAGATTGACTGCAAACAACCACAAGGGATGTTTCTGGAGTGATGGGAATGTTCTAAACCTGGATTGTGGTTATGCTTCCACAAATCTAAAATGCACAAAATATGTTTGAGCTGTAGAATTACAACAGTTACATTTTAAGGTGCTTAATCTATAACCCTATAAAGCTGCTAAGAAAATATTGCAAAACCATAGGATATACCAGCCAATGTAAATTCATAAAAATTAGGCAGATGAACTTCAATGGGGGTCAAAGGAAGAAAATATATTTAAGTTTTAAAAATAGGATTTGACATATTAGCCAGAATATAGGAAAGATATTTAGATATCATTTTGATGTACACATCATTGTAGGCCTTCTAAAACTATCAGCCCAAAATACAGAATAAAAAGAGAAAATAAGATATCATAACAGGCAATGCTAAAGAAACTACCATAAAGTAATCCCTTCCACTGTTACGTGCAAATATCTTTTACTTATATATTAAGCTTATTCTTCATGATTATCCCTTCGAGCCCAAAGGGGAAGGCTATGTCGCAGCGGGAGGGGATTAAGGATCTCCTTTGAAAAAATAGACCTTTGTAGTGTCAATTCTTGCAGTACAGGTGAGACCTGAAACAGGAAATCAGAACTTGTTAGCTAGCTTCTAGGATAGAGAGAAACTCTAGATTCTTTCTGGACCTTGACTTTGTGTGGGAAGGGGTATATGAATAACGGAGGCAAATAGAAGTGGGATAGAAATTACAGAAAGACACTGACCCAATGCAGTAATATTAAAAATAAAAATGACTTCGATCTGAGACAATAACAACTGAGGATAAATTTTAAAAACATAAACCATACAAACCATGACAGTTAATTTGGCCTCATTAAACACCAGCTTTCTTGGGATATGATACAAGTTTAAAATTTTAAAGCACATATTCCTGAAACATTCAGATTAATTTGTAATTGGCAGAAGGATTTAGGGGGGGTTATTTATTTATTTATATTTGTGAACAATAGGTATTTTTATTTTTTAAAGGAATTTATTCTTTAATTGAAATGTATTGATTGTACATATTTATGGGGTACAGAGTTACATTTCAATACATGTATACAATGTGTGATGATCAAATCAGGGTAATTAGTATATTCATCATTACAAATGTTTATCATTTCTTTGTGATAAAAACATTTGATCTCCTCTCTTCTACCCATTTGAGAACACACAATAAATTATTGTTACTTATAGATATAGTCTAGCATTACTATATACTACTAGCATGTATTATTCCTATCTAGCTGTAATTTTGTGTCCATTATCAACTTTTCCCTATCTCCCCACCCCTTCCCTTCCCAGTCTATTAACCATAATTCTACTCTGTCCTTCTAAAAGTTCAACTTATTTATTTTTTTAGTTCCCACCTATGCGTGAGAACATGTGACATTTATCTTTCTACACCTAACTTACTTTCCTCAACATAATGTTTTTCAGGAACACAATGAGGTATTATCCCACTCTAGTTAGAATAGTTATTATCAAAAAGACAAAAATAACGAATGTTGGCGAGGATGCAGAGAAAAGGGAACTCTCATACACTGTTGGTGGGAATGTAAATTAGTACAGCCATTATGGAAAACAGCATGGAGTTTCCTCAAAAAACTAAAAATAGAACTACCATATGATCCAGCAATCCCACTGCTGGGTATTTATCCAAAGAGAAGGAAATTAGCATACTGAAGAGATATCTGTACCCCCATGTTTATTGCAGCACTATTCAAATAGCCAAGATATGGAATCAACCTAGGTGTTGAACAGCAGAGGAATGGATAAAGAAAATGTGTTATATATACATAGTGGAATACACTCAGCCATGAAAAAGAATGCAATCCTGTCATTCGTAACAACATGGATGAGTAAGGAACTTAATTCAACAGCAGAAAACCAAATAATCCAATTAAAAAGTGGGCCAATGAATAGACATTTCTCAAAAGAAGACAAACAAATGGCCAAGAGGTATATGAAAAAATATTTGATATCACTAATCATCAGGGAAATACAAAATGGGGGTATTTAAGGTGTCTTGAAACATCAAGAGCTTCCTAAATTTCTGCTGAGTTGAAGTAGTTTTGATTGGGATAGGACTGTGTGTCCTTTTGCTCATCTCTTGCTCACCATTTGCCTCCCAGCCCAGCACCTGGCATATATTAGATAACCAATTAGTAGGTGGTGAATGAAAAAATGTCTTATGGCTTTCAAGGTTTTGTTTTTTGGGTTTTTTTTTCTGGGCAATTAAAATTTTATTTATTAACTTAATAATCAACATTTATTAACAAACAGATCTATAAATGTCTCTTTGTGTCACTTCTGGTTGGGACTAATGAACAGTCCATTAAGATAACTGAGTTTGGCATTTGTTACATTTTTATGACTGGTCCCATAAAACATATCCCTCCCCAATACCTCTTTTACTATCCTATGTTCTCTCCCATCTCCCTAAACATTGAGTATTTATGTGTTTATTTGTATATAGGTGTATTTAGTTATCTTTATATTGTCATGCCCTTGTCACGATAGATATTTGCAGTTTTTATGTGCTCGGTCATGATTTCTTCATGCTTTTCTTATAAGTGCATTGTATTATAGTTGTTCTAAAGTATTTGAAAATATATCACACAATGTAAAACATGGACCCTATGTAAGTTTTTAAAACTACAAAACTAAAGGGCCGGCCCGGTGGCGCACTCGGTTGAGTGCGGCACTTGGGAGCACGGCGGCGCTCCCGTCGAGGGTTCGGATCCCATATAGAGACCAGTCCGCTCACTGGCTGAGCGCGGTGCGGGCACGACACCGAGGGTTGCGATCCCGTTGCCGGTCGTGGTACGGGTGCGACACCAAGGGTTGCGATCCCATTACCGGTCACGAAAAAAAAAAAAGATAAAAAGGAAAAAAAAAAAACTACAAAACTAAAATTAACACTTTGGAGATAATGGATCAACTTAGTTTGGATTCTTTTCAAAAAATACGTCAACTTAATAAACTATAAGAAAAATTAGTATAAATGAAACAGGAAATAATCTCATTAAAGTAACTCATAGTTATAAATATAATTTGTGCTATAATTGGGATATTAAATTTACTCAGTAAGTTAGTATATTTTGCTCAGCTTTATGTTTTGTTGTTTGAGAAACACAGTAAACTGTAGCATTAAAAGCCAGCCTCATTTCAATTTATTTTTATAGCAGAGTGCAAAATAACCCAAGCTTAAAATACATTCAGGCACTGAGACTTAAATCCCTAATGGTAAGAAAGAGTTCCATAAACAGATGTGATCATGGATTCTGAGTTTATTTGCTTGTGGCAAAAATAAAAGTAGCAACTCAATAAGTTTTAATTTATAGGCATCTATACCAGAAAGCCTTTGGGCACTTGGAGCAAAACTGACTAAAAATAAAATTTAGTAAAATAAAACCTCATCTGCCCCATTCTCCATTCACACTGTGGAATGTAAATTACTCAACTGGATAGAAGAGAGACTTCTCCACATCCCCTCCAGGTGATCTCTTCGAATTGTAGCTGTGCTGTGCTCCAGAAGAGAATTTTAAATTGGCTATGCTCCTGACATTTAGGAATGTGAAAGAGGAACTAGGGATAGTCAATCCACTGTAGAAGGTTTTCAGATGATCACAGCCCCACTATGACCTGTGGTCGTGCAAACATGCAGAGCTTTTCTGTTCTTACCCACAGGGAATATTATGTGTCCCTTGCTCTAGCAGAAACCTCCTTTATGTTATTTTTTTAAAAATATAAAGACAGTGCTGGTTCCTAACATGTATCTAAATAGCAGCAAATTCTATGATTCTAACATTGTACATATGATATATTAAAAATTCTTATTCATGTGGAATATAAATAACAGAACAAAGAGACAGGTACGGGATCCTGATCTTGAAAAGAAGGTCTTCTCATTGCAGGGCTTGCTCACCTTACATTCTGTTCTTCCAGGGTCTCACTTGTGAATTCCAGTATGTCAGCAGCTGTCCCCACAAAAATAAGGAGAAGTTGAGAGAGTTGGTCTCGAGTGATCCCGCCTCCAATGGGTAGAAGCCATCTTCCAATTATTAGCATTAACAGGAATGTCTGATGGAGTCCCAAAGTCCAGACTTTCTCACATACTGTAGATAAGTTATTTACAAAACCTTGGGCCTGTTTAACAGAAATGTCATACAGACAGAAGGATTATGAGCTACCAGAGAGATACCTCCTTCACCATGGCTTTTAATAAAGAGTTTGCTTTTGTGAATGGTCACTTTCAGGAGTTATTCTTCACTTATTAGAGAAAGCAAAACTCCTTTTAGCTAAACACTCTGGGAAAAAAACCCCAAAAGTTATGTGGTCCTTAAAATGGGGCTACCTTATAACTAGCAAGTAATTTAAACCTTACACTTGCTAGTGGGATTGTACCATATGATATTTAAAGAGCTAATTCTACAATGTTTTAAGGATCATTTCTCACTTTATCATACTCTGTAATAAAGTATAAAACATAGCAAAATTTTATAAATTCCACATTAAAATAAAAAGAAATCCTATATTTTTCTTTTTTAGATTTTAAATTTGAATTTATTAATCTGGGAATACTTTTAGCCTGGTGGAAATATTCCCTTTTGTTTGCTGATGTTTTAAAGCTATATTCTATCTAACAGGAAAAATGTAAAAATGTTTATCCATTATATAAATGTGAAGAAAGAGAATAAATATAAAGCTATTTTTTATTCTAAATATTTAACATATAATCCAATAATCCATAAACTAGCAAACAAATTTTATTCTGCCCTTATTCTTGGAGTCTGAGAAAAATTTACATCCCACTCATGTATTCTTGATGACATCTCTTGCCCAATTACATTCCAAGTATGTTTCAAAGTATATAATTGACCCTATAGTTTATAATATTTTAAGGACTACAAAAACTTAGGTCTCAAGTGGATTGGATAATAGTTCCAACTTATTTATGTAAATGACTTAACTATGTTTGTAAAAAATCTGTTTTCTCCTTTTGATCACTTGCCAACATCAAATGCACAAGGAAAGGGAGGAGAAAAGACAGGGCAGGATATTAACCAGATGGAAGCCATGAATTAAGATCAATAATCTGTCATTTGCACACTTCTTTATATTTCTTCAATAAAACATCACATAACATCTTAATTCATACAGGAAGCACATTAGCAAGATAAATATTAATATTTTAATTCTCAGATGAAAAACTGAGAGATAGAGAGACTAAATGATTTGTCCAAAGTGATATAGATATGATTGGAACTTGAATTAGAACCCAAGCTTCACTCTACTAAACCTCGCAGAACCAATAGCCCATCTTATTCATGTTGTTGAAAACATGTTTCGGTGATAAAGGCCTTGTTCCTGGTCTTTCCTATCTTTTACACCATTTTTAAATAGGCCGTGGTCAGTTTGCCAAACATGAGACATGGAGAAAAATAAAGAGATTCTATTTTGGCCGGAAACCTTCTCTATTTTATTAATAAACAACTAAAAAATATATAGGGTGGAATAAAACAAGAAAAGGAAATAAAATGATATGGACTGGGGAGGAAGAAATAAAAGTGTCTTTGTTCACAGATGGCATAACTGTCTATGTAGAAAACACCAAAGAATCATCAAAAAAACTTCTGAAACTATTAAGCATTTATAGCAAGGTTGCAAGATATAAAGTTGATTTACAAAAGTCAATCTCTTTCCTATATACTGGCAAACAAGCGGAATTTGAGATTAAAAACAAAATGCCATTTACATTAGCATCCCCAAAAATAAAATACTTCAGTATAAATCCAACGAAACATGTACAAGAACTATGTGAGGAAAACTACAAATCTCTGATGAACAAAATCAAAGAAGAATAAATGGAGAGATATTTCATGTTCATGAATAGGAAGCCTTAATATTGTCAAGATGTCAGTTCCTCCCAATTTGCTCTATAGATTCGAGCAGTCTCAAAAAAATCTCAGCAAATTATTTTGTGGATATTGATGTACAGATTCTAAAGTTTATGTAGACAGGCAAAAGATCCAGAATAGTCAACACAATATTGAGGCAAACAAAGTTAGGGGACTGACACTACCTAACTTCAAGACTTACTGCAAAGCTACAGTAATTAAGACCGTGTAGTATTGGTGAAAGAACAAAGAGATCAATAAAACAGAATAGAAAGCCAAGAAACAGAACCATATAAACCCTCAACTGATCTTTGACAAAGGAGCAAAGGCAATAGATATGATATTGTTTTGAGAAATGATAATTGTTTTCATTTGGAACAACTGGACATCCACATGCAAAAAATGAATTTAGACACAGATCTTATACCCTTCACAAAAACGAACTCAAAATATAGACCTAAATTTAAAATGCAAAACTACAAAACTCCTAGAAGATAACATAGGGAAACACCTACCTATAAGACCTTGTGTATGGTGATGACTTTTTTAGATGCAACACCAAAGGCAAAATCCATGAAAGAAGAATTAAGAAGCTGGATTTCATTAAAATTCATACCTTCTGCTCTGTGAAAGACAATGTCAAAAGAAAAAAACAGACAAACCACAGACTGGGAGAAAATATTTGCAGAAGACACATCTGGTAAGACTGCTTTCCAAAATATATAAGGAATGGGGCCGGCCCGGTGGATAATATTTTAAGGACTACAAAAACTTAGGTCTCAAGTGGATTGGATAATAGTTCCAACTTATTTATGTAAATGACTTAACTATGTTTGTAAAAAATCTGTTTTCTCCTTTTGATCACTTGCCAACATCAAATGCACAAGGAAAGGGAGGAGAAAAGACAGGGCAGGATATTAACCAGATGGAAGCCATGAATTAAGATCAATAATCTGTCATTTGCACACTTCTTTATATTTCTTCAATAAAACATCACATAACATCTTAATTCATACAGGAAGCACATTAGCAAGATAAATATTAATATTTTAATTCTCAGATGAAAAACTGAGAGATAGAGAGACTAAATGATTTGTCCAAAGTGATATAGATATGGTCCCCGGTCCGGTACGGGGGCAACACTGAGGGTTGCGATCCATTGCCGGACACGGAAAAAAGACAAAAAGACAAAAAATATATATATATATATAAGGAACGCTTAAAATTCAACAATAACAAAGCAAACATCTTGATTAAAAAATTTGGCCAGAGACCTTAACAAACACCTCACCAAAGAAGATATACAGACAGCAAATAAGCATATAAAAAATGCCCTATACCATATGACATCAGGGGAATTCAAATTAAAACAACAATTAGATACCATTATACACCTAACAGACAGCCAAAATCCAGAACACTGACAACACATATGCTGGTAAGGATGTGCAGCAACAAGAACACTCATTCATTACTGGTGGGAATGCAAAAGGGTACAGCTACGCTGGAAGGCAGTTTGGCAGTTTCTTACAAAGCTAAACATAATCTTACCATATGACCCAGCAATCACGTTCCTTGGTATTTACTCAAAAGAGCTGAAAATTTATGTCCGCACAAAAACCTGTACACAGATATTTATAACAGCTTTATTCATAATTGCCAAAACTTGGAAGCAACCGAGATATCCCTCAGTCCATGAATGGATATATAAACTGTGATATGTCCAGACAAAAGAATATTATTCCTCACTAAAACGAAATGAGCTATCAAGCCATGAAAAGACAAGGAAGAATCCTAAATGGGTATTACTGAGGGAAAGAAGCCAATCTAAAAAGGCTACATGCTGTATGATTATAGCTGTAAGACATTCTAGAAAAGACAAAACTATGGAGACAGTAAAAGGATCAGTGATTACCAGGAGTTGGAGGGAGGGGGAGGAATGAATGGGTGAGCACGGGATTTTTAGGGCAGTGAAAATACTCTATATGACACTATAGTGATGAATACATGTCATTATACATTTGTCCAAACTCATAGAATGTAAAAACCAATGCAAACCCTAATGTAAACTATGGACTTTGGGTGATAATGACATTGTGTCCAAGTCAGTTCATCAGTTTTAACAAATGTGCCACTGTGGTGCAGGCTGCTGGTGATGGGGGAGGCTGTGCATGTGTGAGGGTCAAGGGGAGATGGGAAATCTCTGTACCTTCCACTCGATTTTGCTGTGAACCTGAAGCTACTCTAAAAAAATTGTCTTAAAATTACATATATCGGATTCCAATCTTAACTATATCACTCCTTCAGAAATTTATGTCTCTTTCTGTGCATATATTGACTGATTTAAGTGTTCTTTAATGTTGCCTGTTAAATATATCTATATTTATATACTTATGCATATTAAATAAGTTTAATAATATAAACAATATGATTATTTTGTGAATTCTTGAGCCAAACAACTAAACAATTGGCAAGTTTCTTGAAGAAAGAGTGAGCTAAGAGGTATATAGCATGTTATCTTCACCAAGTCCACCATTAGCTAGATCATTTAATGTTGGTGGGAAAAGCTCTCACCGTCTCAATGAGATCATTTGCTCCACTGGTTTGTTCATTGGACGTCAGTGTTTGATTGAAGTTGTCTTTTCTGCTGGTATTCTTTGACATCCCTTCAGATTGGACACTGCAATGCTAAGAATTGGGGGGTGAGAAAGGCAAGATGCCAAAAAATACCACAATTAGGTGAAGTTTAAAATAGCTTCAATCTCTCCAAGAGATTATGAGCAGATATGTAGTGTTATACAATATGCCTAAACATTTCCAAAAATCCAAATACAGGCTTGAGGTAGAAAACCACTTTTCAGTTAATATGAGAAGAGTGTCAACTATCCATGTCTTATTATTTCCTAGGTCTATGAGGATGTAGGTGCTCCGAATCGCTGTGGAGAGGTATAGAATTCACAGATTGATAATTGGCAACAATAAAACAGCAACAATAAAACATGTACATGAGGATGTAGGTGCTCCGAATCGCTGTGGAGAGGTATAGAATTCACAGATTGATAATTGGCGTTCCTTTCTTAAACTCTGGAACAATTGTAAAATGACTCAACAACCAACAGCAACAATAAAACATGTATGATCCTGGTCAAGGCATTTATTTTATGATTTTTTTACTTACCCAGAAGCCTCTTTAACTAAAATACCATTTTGCTTAAATAATCCAATTGCTTTCAATCCTGCTTTTCAAGCACTATAACAACCAAAACATAAGCTTGTTCACCCACCAATGTATACATTTTACTGTGAGTTTAGAAGTCAATTTAGGTATTATAAAAATTTAACGATATACCTAAAAGAAATGACCTGTTTTTCTTCTTGTTCATTCATTTTGTTTGTGAATTTCTGCAAGTGTACTGCAGATGATTTTTTATCCAGCCAGTGCTGGGAATGTGAAACAGAATAAGAGAAGGAAAAAGTATCTGAGAAGAAAGGGGTGGCATTTGAAAAATGTAGCTGTGCTCAATGCATAATTTACAGGCTGTGTTTTTTTTAAAAAAAATGGTTGAAGGGTTTTTTAACTCTTTTCCATCAAGAAAAACTCAGGTGATTTTGATGCAAACTCCTCTAAAACAGAAACACAACTGAGAAAGATGGTGTGGTTTAAGGGACTAGGCATCCATTAGGGTCCAAGCCCCAGCACTGCTATTGATTTGCTGTATGGCCTTAGGACAATTACTTAATCTTTCTGAGCCTCAGAGTGTTCTTCTATAACACAGAAATGTAGGCACCATGCCTACTTATGGAGTTGCTGGGTCCACAAATGAGAAAATGTATATGAAAATATTTTGAAATATAGAGAACTATACGAAGAGAAGTGATTATCATCTATCATCACAACTAAAATTTCCGAAGTGAGCAACTAATAGAATTGCTGTACTACCCTTTATTCTGTTCTTATTTCTTTAAATACAATTCCAATACTTTTTTGTGTCTGTCACTTTCTTCCACTGCCATGTCTGCTCACCCTGCCCAATTCAATCTCTGGGCATTTATTTTAATTCTCAGTGTCAAAACGAGTCAAATCCATTATTACTAAAGGTTCAATTTCTTTTGTAGTATGAAAATTAGAGAGGTACTGCCTGAGGCTCAAAATTTTTTTTTATTAAAAAGAGAGCTTTTGGTTGCATGCTATCTGTTGTAATGGGATTTGACCTGTATATCAATTAACAATTAGAGAGGTACTGCCTGAGGCTCAAAATTTTTTTTTATTAAAAAGAGAGCTTTTGGTTGTATGCTATCTGTTGTAATGGGATTTGACCTGTATATCAATTAAGTGTGCAACACATTTATATTATAAAAGCATTTGGGGAAATGAATTGTTATTGTGGATGATAGCCATGTCACAAAATTGGATGTGAAGGAAAAATTGATTCAAACAAGCAGAGTTTATTTCCATACCTCTGAAACTAATAAGTAGAAAGGAGATTGAAACAGTCACCTAACTCCTTCAGTTTTAAAAAGCCATAATAACTTGAACCAACTAATCTACAGTTACAAAAATACTTTTGCTACAGACAGAGATAGCCTATGACTTTAATGTTTTTAGCAGGAGATTTAAGAAGGAAAAATGCTTTTTTCTTGCCTACATTTTGGTATGCACTTGTGGAATTCTTCAAAATAGTCCATAGAGCTAAATTCTCCTCAGTGTGCATAAAATTTGGAGCAAGCATTTTCCAGATAAAATTATATATTGGAAGCTTAACCTTACTATAAGATGACCAACTGTAGCAAAGAAATCTGTATAGAGCCAAATTGTCACAGATCTTACCTAAAGCATTTTACCAGTGAAGGTTCCCAAATAATACTATATCATAACTACTAGTGTATCTGTAACATAGTCCTGTAACCTGAACCGTGAAGTCCAAGCTTGAGTCTGATGGTCTTTAATAACTGGCCTCCCCAGAAGTATTAACTACAGTAAATAACTGAACCCAGCCCAGGGCCTGCTAACTACAGTTGTCCGTTAAGGAAGTAGCTCAATTCAAAATCTCTTTATATAAATTAGGGGCTCTTATTGGAATCCACTGTTTATTTTCTAGGTCAATATGGTCTAATACATATAAACCCACCTTTCCCCATAGTGGGTCCCATTACTCCTCTCTTTTAACCTCCCCTTTCAGGGCTCTAAATTAGAATTCCTATTTCACTAAGACAGCCCATGGGACCCCCCAGAGTGAATCTCCTGTAATCTGCATAGACTGAATTTTAAAACAGACTATTTTAAGTAGCCCCTATGCATTTGATTAACTTTATATAGCAGAGTACAGATGAGGGTTGTTTTTGTTTTTGTAATTCCTAAAAATGTCATTTTGCAGGATGCCAGATTATTGAGGCATGCCCATTCCTAGCACAACACAGAAACTCACTGAAGCTGCAAGGGTTAAAACCAAATTTCCACAACCCTGTGTAAACTCTGGCATATCGTGGGGTAGGGGGAGGGGAGTCTTAGGAACAAGATCTCTAACACAAAATGATAATTAATTATATAACCTTAAATGAATGTAATGTTTTTATTGTTTTTTTGACATATCGTGGATTCCCCCCCCCCTTTTTTTTTTTTTTTTTTTTTTTCCTTCTTTTTTTTTTTTTTTTTTTTTTTTTTATTTCCCAAAAAA